GTGTGTGTGTGTGTGTGTGTGTGTGTGTGTACCGTTTTCAGGGTTGATGCTGTTTGTGTGTATTTTATCCTGAGGTTTTTTTTTTTGTGGCCATTGTGTGAAGCCCCTGCTCTCTGTTGCGTTGACCATATGGCCTTATTTACAGCCACTGCAAACAGAAGTCATCCCTCCAACTGTTGTTCTAGTTGTGAAACCTTAAATCCGTCATCAGCGGGGCTTTCAGAGGTCGCAGACGAGCACAAACGAGCTCCTAAAATGCATCTGCAAAGCTGCCCTTTTTTTTTACAGTGCAACAATAAAAATAAACTGTGATGGTTAAAGGCCTGGTGTTGCACGTCGCCTTTCCTGACAGAAATGACCGATTTACAGTTGAGTCGAATCTAGAAAATAACATTTGCTATATTTTGACATCTTGCTTTGATGTGCTGGTGCTTGGAGGTTGTGTTGTGAACGACTCTCAGCTACTACCATACTCAATTTTAGCACAAAATCTCTAAAATCGACTGTTATTTTCATTTTTTCCATAGACTGAAGTCAATTATGATTGCCCTCCTGAATCAGGCTAATTGTAAAAGTTACATTTAATGATGACGTTCTGTGAGTTTCATTGAAATCTGTTTGGTGGTTCATGAGTTATTTTGCTAACAGACAAGCAATGACTCCCAATAGTTGATGCTAAGATTAAAAGTAAAGACTGATTTAAATAATTACTTTAATGAAATTCATTCCCCACACACAGCAACACTTTAAAGGTTAAAGGTCACAGCAGTGTGTTTTCTGCACCCAGCTGTCTGTTCAGCGAGGGATTATTTGTGTGTTTCATGTACAGTTACTCCATGTGTTACTTGCTCTCCCTTCACTTCCTCTGTGAAGCGGTTTGAACGCGACTCCCGTGACGCAACAGGAACTCAAGCCCGACTTATTTTAACTCCCGAGTTTAAATCTGTGGACGTCTGTGCAACCTTTTCTTTCACCTGAAAGTGGAAGTCCCTCCTGAGAGGACCTGAGAGTCGTGCAGCTGTAGGTGAATCTTCAGGAACCGAGACGTGAAGCTGTCAGTTAGGAGTCGAGGCACGACACTGGATTAAAATGAAGTGGCAGTGTGTCGAAAGTACAGGATTTATATGTGTCACCGTTTAGACGAATCTCTCATTTGATTCTGTCTGAGGAAGTTTCAGTGTCAGAGCAGAAGCTGAGGTCTGAAGGGCAGACTTTCACTCTGCACCGCCTTTTCACTTCGCTCTTTCACATTTCAACCATCTACAAGGAGCGGCATTTTACCCCCGTCACCTGTAAAGCTTCAAATGACGAAGTCAACCCAGTTTGTCTGTTAGCAAAATATCTTCCTCATCAGAGCAAAGGTTTGTGCATAACAGATATATCATGTTTTTAAATCTTTTTTCACATTTAAATCCTTCATTTGGGATCTATAGAAAGTGGAACTGCAATGCTTTGGTCTAAATTCCTCATTGTAACTCCACAAGCCCCGCCCCTTTTCTGAGGTGTGTCTCGTTTTGTTGCTGTCTCTTTAAATCCAAACGAGATGTTTCACACTCCGCCCCCCTCCAGCTTCCAGAGCGGTCCATTCTAGTTTCATAGAGGGGTTTACGACTATATAGCTGCGCAGGAGCTTTTTATTTACAAATTAATTAAAAGATGGTCGACAACAGCGAGAGGAGAATGAAGACGACCAAATTCCAGTTGGTAAGTCCAGACCTTATTTGGCAGTTCTGTCGCAGATAATTTGACATAATAGTTCAGAAAATATAGAAAATAAAGAAAACTGAAAAATATGACCCAAACAGGAAATAAAGCTATCTATGTGTAATTAACCTTCACCCTTATGAGGATTCAATTACACTTCTTATAACAAAGTTATAAGGAAGTTATTTTAGCGAGGATCTCTTATTTTGTCCGTTCATTTTTGTTTGAAAGAAATATTTACCAAAAATAGATCCTTGCTAAAATAATTTCCTCATAACTTTGTTATAAGAAGTGTAATTGAATCCTCATAAAGATGAAGGTTTGTTATGCATCATCGGAAGAAACTAAATTCAAATTTTCTGCACTCTTTGAGATTCAAAGTGCTAAAAAAGGGAATTTAACTTGATATGTACTCTTCAATGTTCAACCAAAATGTCTATTACTGTCATTTCTCAACAAAAGATGATCCAAATGATCTGCGTTCCTTCAAGAAACACCAGTCTTTTAGTTCATGTTGTACCACTTTGAAACCCCCCGTTGACCACATTTTATTCTGTGCTGAGTTATGAAACCAGTCATCCTGGTGGTGTGTGTTTTGGCATGTAGGTATGCAGTAGCTTTCTACAGACCGTGTGAGAGTAAGAACCTGCAGTGGCTTCCTGCGATACGGTTTCCTGTTTGCTGCAGCCGTTTAAAGAAACAAAGTGAACTTGTTCTCAATGAAACTTGAGGTCGGAACCAGTTTCATTGTGCTCTACTTGTTGCAGGTGAACATTCAGGGATCGTAACAAATTTTGTGATCCGTCAGCCTGCTTTGTTTTGCCAACAAGAATGTAAAAGAGTAAAAGATTCTGATAGGAGTGATTCGTTAATCCATGATTATGTAACTTTTATACGGGAGAACATTTTTAACATTTTATAACTCAGTTTATTACACTCCCATCAGTTGCTTTTTTTAGACACACTTATGTAAAAAAAGGTTTTTAAGTTAAGAAATTTGTACGGTTGTCTCAAATTAACCTGAGAAGTTTGTCAGCTGTCACAGATCTTAGTGATTTTTCCTTCGACACGCTCACCTGGTCCAGACCCTGAATGTATTAACAAGAGCTGTTCCGGCTCGTCCTTCAGGCTGACAGATTGTCACACCTGATTCAACCCGACTCTGTGACGGCGCTCGGCTGACAGCACAGATTAACATAAGAGCAGGACATCCTCATTCATTCTGAGAATGCAGATTCAGCATTCACAATTTTGTTTTCCTGTACATTTTTCATTTTTGCAATCTACTACTGTAGAGCTACTCTGTGCTATTTCAGCCATTGAGTCTTTCATTAGTTGAACAGATGGGTGCTATTTTAGTTTTTGTAACTTTTATACTGAAAAATATTTTATTTATTTACAAATACGCATATTGAGAGCTCTGATTCAGCTACATTTAGCTGTTAGCTTATCTTTTAACCAGACTGTTTGGTTAGCCTGCTACTTTTAGCTTTAGCTAGGTAAACTTTAGATGTTGATAGGTAGTTTACTTCCTTAGCTTTTAGCAAACGTTTTACTGTTTTTTGGCACATTGCTACATTTAGATTTTAAAAAACCTGTTTTCGCTGGATTTAAATGCTGTTTAGAATTTCTAGCCAAGTTTTTAGGAGGTTTTAGCCAGTATTTTGCTACATTTACCTTAGCTATTCATTTGCTACTTTTATGTTTTAGTTAGACTTCTGCTACTTTTAACTTTCAGAAAATTTACAAGTGAAGTAATATCTTGAACTGATAAACTTTTGGAGTCAATCCCACTCAAGATAACCATAAAATTAGGGACTACAAAGATGGCCACCACCATGCCAGTCAGAGACCCAGGAAGTTACATCAATTCAATTCAATTCAAAAATACTTTATTGATCCCAGAGGGAAATTAGGTGTTGTTGTAACTCATTTAACTAAAAACTTATTGTAGATGCTGATGACACTCTCAACAACAGACTTGTAGAAGATCTGCTGCATCTTGCTGCAGACATTGAAGGATCAAAGTTGCTCTGTCCTTTCTTGTAGACTGCTTCACTGTTGAGTCTCCAGTACAGTCTGTTGTCCAGATGAACACCGAGGTATTTATATTCCTCAACCACCTCCGCTTCTTCTCCCATGATGGAAACAGGGTTTGATCTAGCACTATTTCTCCTGAAATCTACAATCATCTCCTTTGTTTTGTTCACATTCAAGAAGAATCTAGCCTTTTGATGCTGATAGTTTGCTGCTTTAGCTTTAGCAAGCCTTTTTCTGTTTTGTTAGCGCATGGCTACATTTAATTTTTCTAGCCTTCTGCTATTTTTAGCTAGGCTTATGCTACTAGGTTTCTAGCCCATTTTTAGCAGCTTTTAGCCTTTAGCTTTTATGTGTTAGACGTCTGCTACATTTAGGTACCGTTTTTAGCTAGCCTTTTGCTCCTTCTTCTTATAGTGTTTTGCTACTTTTAGCTAACATTTTGATATTTTTAACTAGCTTTCTGATAACTAGCACTTTACTAATTTTAGCTTTAAGCTAGCTTTTTGCTACTTCCAGTTAGCTAGACTTTCGCTACTTTTGCTTGGCTATTTGATGCTTTTACCTACCCTTTAGCTACTTTTAGTTTATATGTACTCTTTTGCTACATGAAGTTTCAAGATAGCCTTTTTTTTATCAGTGTGCATTGCCAATGCAATGCACACTATTGTGATTCGTTTCCCATTCAAGTCATCTCAACTTTGGCATGCTTCTCCTCCTGCATACTTTGTCCTAGAGCTGCCATTGTAATTTATATCTGTAAAGCTCGTGTGCCAAATGATGGCTATGCCTTTTGGTGCCTGTAAAACTTATAGTTTATGAAATATTAATGTTTAACGAATTATAATGGCAGTCAATGGAGCCTTGTATTGGTCCAATACTGCCCCATGCTGTACCCAACTTGGTACTGCACCATAGTTTAAAATTTCAACTCAGTAGTTCAGTGTTTACAATACTAATATGATTGTATTTTGATGTTTAACTATAATATTGTCTTAATACTGCTCGATTGTTGTAATATTATGCATTTTTGTGTCAATAATTGTATTGGCAATGTGGCCTCTTTCTGCACACATACAAACCAACCCCTGGCACCATCTTTTGCCACAGTTCTATTGGTCTAATGGTCTACGTCATGGACTTTCATGTGGGAGATCAGGGTTCAAAACCCAGCTAATGCAACTTTAAAAAAGAATCTCTTCAAATTTCATATTGTCACACAATTACCTTAATTACAAACACCTGCTGATGTGACAGGCACAAGCTGGTATATAAAACACATTTGAAATTGGTCAAAGTTCATTCTACAAGTCCAATGCTGCAGGCAAAGCCATGCTACATGGCAGTGCACACTTATTTTTACATTGTAAAAACCCGTATCTAGTTCTTATTTCATTTCATATCCATTTGATACTTTCGGCTCTTAGCTACACTTTTAGCTAACCTTTTGCTGTACTAGTGTTCAGTAGATACATTTAGCTTTTAAGTAGCCTTTTGCTTCTTTTAGCAAAAGTTTTTCCACTTTTGGCTTTTAGCTAGCATTTTATTTCTTTCAGCCTCATCGCCTCAGTTTCAACTTCTCCAGCGGCCCGTCAACGTTCGCACTGCATTTTCTGAAGTTTATTTGTCAGTGCTCATCTAATCCCTCTCTGGAACACCTGCACATGTTGTAACCGTTCAGCCGAAACTTCACTTTTTTTCCCCCAAATCTCACTTCCATAGCAGAAAGTGAGATCATCTGGCGCGCGCGTTTCCCCCTCCTTTATTTTGCATGTCGACAGCAGCTGGAGACCGATGACGGAGCTGAAACAAATCGGTGAAATTTTCTGCAGAAACCGCAGCAGAAGACTCCGTGGCTCTAACTGTAAACGGTCAACAAAGCCGAGTGTTGTTGGTTGTCAGCAGGAAATCCCCTCAAACTATCAGGACATGATATCTAACACAAAGTGCTTTTCTGTATTGTTTCTTCTTGGTGTTCGTCTTTTCCTTTCTTTCAAAGAAACTGGTAAAATCCCATGAAAAATGTACATGATAGTAATCCATGCAGTTATCCTTTCTTGTTGTCAGTTTAATTTATAATCACAGTGTGCACCACATGACCTCCTTCTTTCATTAACCATGACTTCAAGTATAAAACTCTGTTCCCCCAGCAGCCATCATTTCTCTGTCCCGGCTGCCCTTTTAGCTGCTTTTTTTTCCACCTCTCTGAGTCTCTTACAGCACGCCCCCCTCTTTTTTTTTTCTCAGCTCAATTACATTCGCTTTGTTCTATGCAGATTAAGGTCGTCCGCCGATAAGGCACTCCCGAGTCTTTGGGGGGCTTCACAATCTAATTTGTGGAAATCTTCTGAAGCTCGTTCGTGCTGCTTCTGCATTTACTCGTTACTTCCTTCTGAAACCGTCACCGAAACGTGTCTGAATCACGTCCACGGTGCACGAGGAAACTAGGGTACGCTTCTGGGGGCACTTAGCGGGCCTCAGCTGACATGTTAGGCCGTCTTCTTGTTATGATCTAATTTGACCCGTTTTCCTTACTGTAACGCTCCCTCAGCAGTGAGTTTTTCTAGCAGATGGCATTAAATCAGGTGGAGGCCTCGCAGTTTGAGTTGGTGCTTTTCTCAGCGCTTCAAGCTGATTGAGGAAGAGTGTTTCCATCCTGACACCCACTGCAGAGCTCTGAAACTTGTTGAGAAACTGTCACAGGATGTGGGAACTCACATGTCTGTCTGTGTATGTGTTTGTTCTCATAGGTATGCGTTGTTTTGCTTGCGTGTGTTTGTCTTTAAACAAAGACTTGATCGAAATGAGTCGAAACATGGAAGTTTTTTTGAGAAATTATGCTATAAAGACGTTTTTGTGTGTCCTTCCCATAATGCAGCTCATAAAACTAACCCTGTCCTCCACTGGAGTTCACAAGCTTGTAATTACATTTAGTTGTCATTATAGGTTGGTGCTAGATTAGAAACTGAATATTTTGGGACCCATCCAGGGGTGGAGCTAGGCTTTTTTTACGGGGGGTAGCACATGGGTGGCCAAGGTCTATTTTCAGGGGGGCACATGCAAATTAAAAAAATGTTCTGAAAATTCAAGATGGCCACCACATCCACTTCTAAATTACTTTAATGCAACTGTTTTAAGAAATATTGAGCTGAAATTTTGTGTGATCGTAGCTAAGAATGATCCAAAAACACGTGGAATGCTAGTCACAACTTGTTATTCAGCTATTTTTAATCGTACAAAGTTCATGATCAGTGTAGAAGCAGCCGAAATCAATTTATACAATATCCTGATAATCAAAAATTCAAGATGGCCACCACAGCTAACTTTAAAAGGCTATAATTCAGCCATTTTAAGATGTATTGAGATGATTTTTTGTGGAGTACCCAAGAGTGATCACATGCTGATTATCGAAAACCCAAACCCAAATTAAGCTAACCACTAAGGCTAATTTTACAAAGAGCTATATTTTAGCCATTTTTGAACATACACAGCTAAAAATCTATTTATTACAGTAGTATTAGAGAATAATATTTAACATAATCTAAATGCAAATACAAAATCCAAGATTCCTACCCACTTGTTAATTATTTGGGGGTGGCCAATCAGGTGCCAAGTGTGGCACTTGCCACCCCGGGTGAGAAGGGTTTCTCTGCAGGCCAGTATGCGTTTCCAAGAGAAGCTGGTTCCCAACAAATACACCTGAATGGCCGAGCATTAAGGGGGTCTTACTGAACAACCACACCTGACTGGATGACCGTTGCTTCAGCGTTTCTATCATTAGCTATTAGCTACTATTATTCTATTATGATTAGCTTACTTTGGAAAGAGACCCTTCAGAGGTCCATATTGGAATTATTTAGCCCTCCCCAGTTATTTGACCCTAAAATTAACCCCTTGATTCTATGATTTGGCCCTTCCCAGTCTAATATTAACCTCTATGCCTCAGTTTTGACTGCTAAAATTAAGAAAAACGAAAGAAAAGAACCAAGTTTTTCGAAAAACAGCAAATACAACTAACTAATCAGTGTTTATGTTTAGAAACACCTACTCTTCAGAAACGACTCTGCAGAGACCCCTACTTGCCCGGGCCACTCCTCTGGCTCCACCCCTGTACCCACCCTCTTTTAAAACTCCACTTTAAAATACCAATAACCCAGTACTGGTGTAGCAGTTCTTTTAGCTATTAGCTAGCATTTTGCTTGCTTTTAGCTAGTGTTCTCCTTCTTGTAACTTTAACAATTCAGCTTCAAGTTCCTCTGCACATTTTAGCGAAGTCATTCAGTATTCACACGGCATATGTTGCGAAAATGAACTTTTTATAATTTGTCATGTGACCATTGGAGTTATAAATGCGGCCACAGATCAGGTCTTAGATCAGTTTGTGGATCTTCAGTTCTACATTCATCAACTTTCAGTCGAATCCAAACCCCTTTTCTGCAGATTTTTGAGATTTTCTTTCAGGGCATCCCCAACCACCAAGCTTGAGGCGGGGAATGTCCTCTATTACTGCTGTTATTCATCAGCTCTTCATCTTCCCATCCCCCCTCCATCGTTGATTCCTCCTCTCACACACACTAGTCCTCATCACTCCGCGCCCTGCGTTCTGCCTCCCCCTCATTAAATCGCTCCTCTCTGGTGTCGGTTTCTTTCTTGTCACCCTGACCTCCTTTGCCCTCTCCTTCTGATTCTTTCTGAGCTTCGCACTGGTCTGAATAATTTCTCGTCCCCCGTTACCCTCTAGTCATCGTCCCAGCTTCTTCCACTCTCTAACTACTTTTTCTTTTTTTTTTTTTAACCTCTCAGGCCAGGTTCCACCTCACAGACCGGGACCTCGTCAGATTTCATGGACAAGTCAACCCAGGCGGCGTCCCCCGCAGAGAGCTGCTGTTTAACTCTGATGCCGAAGCACCGCACGCGGCCGTAGAGCAAGAAGAGGGGTCGGGGTGAAAGGTCGCAGACTACAGCGTTCATAAGTGCGGGCTTTGGGAAAGGAAGGTCAAAGGTCAAGGAGTCAAAAATGATGACTTCACACGGAAAGCTGAGGAAGGAGAAGGGCAGCCTGGCCGAGTATGAATCCCAGATGAAGGGTGAGAGTCTCTGCATGCAGCAGGTGCTCGCTTCTGCGCACGTCTCTCTCTGTTTTTGCACGCATGAGTGCACGTAAGAGTGCACGTGCACACCGATGCATGAGCGTGTGCAGTTTCATCACAGTAACTCATCCGTGCGCTTGTATGTATGCATGCATGTGCTTCAAAAGACGACTCTCCAGCAGAGCGTCCAAATTGCCTGTGTCTGCATTTGTTTGTTTGTCTGTTAGCAAAATATCTCATAAACCACTGAGCTTATCATGATGAAACTTTCCCAAAATAATAAGTGGATGTTTGACTACAACTCTTTAACTTTTGGAGTCGGCTCTAATTAAGATAGCCACCACAGCTAATCCACTTTAGCAAACCCATATATAGCTATGACACGGTCACTTTTGCAGATAGTGAGCTAAAATTTGGAGTGATGGTAGCTGAGAGTCTTCCCCATCACATGCTCTGATAACCAACTTACCTTGCAAGATATATAATGAAAATTTTAGCATGCAAGTATGCTTGTTTCCACTAAATCGACATGAAAGAAAGGGAAAACATAAACATGACGGTATCTGGCTATTTGCAGATTTCACATGACAACAGCATGTGTGTGTGTGTGTGTGTGTGTGTGTGTGTGTGTGTGTGTGTGTGTGTGTGTGTGTTCAGTGTGTTTTGGAGCATGCATGCTACGGTTGGCTCTCAGTACTGTACTACAAGGGTATATTTATAGTAAGTATTAGTGATGTTGTCTCCTCACATCCAGTCAGCCCGAGGCGATGCACTCAAACACAAAAAAAGACAGGAAAGAGTAAAAAGGGGGGAAGATGGAGCAGGCGGAGAGGAGGGGGGAGGAATAAAGAGAGAATAGGAGAGGTGAGAGAGCAAACTGAAGGCAGTGTTATTTTAGAGAGCGATGTTTGTATTAACCTTTTCATATCAAAGTGCAGCTCTGGGACACGCTGTTGAATTTGCTGTATTTGCTCGCAGCCCGTGTGTGTATAATATCATGCTCTGTGGGATTACAAGTGAGCTGTGTGGGACGAGCCATATTTTACTGTCAAATCGCTCTGATGGCTTGTCAGCCGATAAAAAGCTTTTAGTTATTAAATTTGAGACTAACTAGAGAAATTTCCTGTGAAATCTCCTGTGTGAATGCTGATTGCTGAAAGCTAAAGTTTAATGCAAGTTTAATGGAAACATGAAAGAAGCATAAAATTCTTAAATTTGCAGAAAGAAGTCGATAAAAGCACAAAAAGTAGAAATTAGTAGAAGAATATCAGAAAGGAGCAGAATTATAGCTGAAATAACAGAAAAAATTAGCATAAAAATAAGCTAAATGTAGCAGCCACAAGCTGAAATTAGGACCCAGATGGTGTTGTAAATATTTTTTAAAATGAGCAGGGAAAAAAAACTTAAAAGTACAAAAAAAAGGATTTGTTGTAAAATAGCTAAAACAGCCAAAATTTGCAGTAAAACAGCTAAACTGTTGCTAATTTAATGATAAATCTTTAAATTAGCATAAGGAAGCATAAGAGGCACAAGTTTACTAAACTTAGCAGAAATACATTGTAATAGCTACAAAAAATGTGTAATTAGCTTTAAAAAGCTAACTTTAATAATAACACCTGAACACTGACTAAAATTGCAGCAAACAGCTGAATATAGAAATATAAGAAGCAGAAATAGCTCAAATTAGCAGAAAGAAACTCAAAAAAGCAGAACATAGAAAAATAGCAGAAAGAAGCAGGACTATAGCTGAAATAGCAGAAAAAAAGCTGAAATTAGCAAAAAAAAAAGAAGCTAAAATTAGCACAAGAAAATTAGAAAGAACAGAACCAGAACAAAAGTTGTGAGGTTCTGTGAAGATTTAGACACATTTTGAAGGATTTTAAGGATGTTGAAAACAGCTCCATTCATTTTCAATGGGAAAAAAAGCGAAATGGCTAAAATTATACAATACCAAAAATCCTACCCTAAATGTCCTGAAGGAGTTAAATCGTGTGATGTTAAAACAGCACAAAAATTGTGGAACAAGATATTTTCCAAAAACAAACTGAAGAAAAACAATCTCAAAATGATCAAGTATGAAAGTAAATATATCAACGAGATTTATATAATTTAGGGATGGGAGGAAACGTCCCGTGTATTCCCTGTTTGCATGGATCAGTATATTCCTGTAACTGTCGGCTTCTCTGACGTCTCAGACCTGCGGGCCCAGCTGACAGACCAGATCAAGATTCTAGACTCTCAGGTGGAGGTGAAGCAGCAGCAGCTCTCAGACATGTCTGAGTTTCTGCGCCGTCGGGGCGACATCGAGACGGAGTACGCACGAGCCCTGGAGAAACTGACCGAGAGGTTCACGCACAAGACCAAGAAGTAACGGCTGCGCTTTCCTGCGCAAACACCTCCGTCTTTCCTGTCCGCAGTCTGTCCGTCAAACGCTCATACGTTTTTTTTGTTTTTGTCGTGGTTCCAGGAAAGAGCAGTGGGGTCAGTCCGTGTGTCAGGTCTGGTCCGTTCTGCTGACTCAGACCCGTCTGGAGAGCCGGGAACACGCAGCGCTGGGAGACACCTGCTGCAACACGCTCACGCAGAGCCTGGTTCACTGCACCGAGGACACACACCGTCTGCACAAAAAGGTCAGAGGCTGTTTAGAAAGACGAAGTTGAAGAAATTTATTAGTCATGTTAGATACTGATTTTAAAAGCATTTCATAGTTTTCCTTTTTAAGGATTGACTTTTATAATCTACTGTTTGACAATTATGTCTTGATTAAAATAGTTTTAGTTACAGCAGGTAAAATAAGTATTGAACACGTCACCATTTTTCTCAGTAAATATATTACTAGAGGTGCTAATGACATGAAGTTTTCAAAAGATGTCGGTAACAACCCAAGTGATCAATACATACAAAGAAATCAAACAATAAATGTCCAGAAATGAAGTTATTTGTAAT